TTGGTCTAGTTTTGTTCTGCGTCTAGAGAATTTATACAAGTTCAGTATGGACACAATACTCTGTAGCACCCAAATATGTAATCGACTTAATTTGGGTTTAGAGTCGTCACACATATTTCGAACTCACGTTGCGTCGCTCTGTAATGTTAACAATCGTTTTAAGATGTTGCGATACATACATAAATAAATCACACGCATATCCCTTGCGGGGTAGACAGAGCGTAAACTGCCGATAAACGGACATTTACACCACGTCTGACAAAATTATAGAGTCATTCAGAGGACTGTATATCACCATAGTGACTAACCTTAACCTGCCACAATGGTGACAAACGTCAGCTTGTCGCCTAAAATTGCAACACACATCAACCTCCCAAATCTCTTAGTCACTTTTTACGACGCCCACGAGAAAGAAAAGGGGTGATGCTATTCTAAGGCGACACCACGTGGCATGATGCGATGCCACTTTACAATTATTTGTGGTCACCGTCGCGTTGTGTCGTGATATCACGTAGCGTCGCGGTGTGGTTTGAGCCTAAGCTTGCAAGCTCACTGGATGAGCCTAGCTTTATGGATGGTCACGTAGGAGCTAGGGCCTAGCCTAAGCCTAGGCTGCCAGCCTGTCTGTACACAGCTCGTACTTATGTAATTTAGCCTTAAAGTAAGACTTAAGACGGAGACATGCGACATCGCGACGCTTGATCTCGTTTCCATACACAATGTATGAAACAGAAGAACCAAATCTACACACGTGAGACGCGCTTCGCATCGATGATGGCTGAACTGAAGATCACTTTTCCTTGTCTGATAGATGTCATCTTATCTTACATCTTACGTGTCTTACTACTCTATGTAGTTTGCGCCTAATGTCAACAATCGGTTGATATCACGTAGCATCGCGGTGTGGTTTGAGCCTAAGCTTGCAAGCTCTTGGATGAGCCTAGCTTTATGGATGGTCACGTAGAAGCTAGGGCCAGGCCTAAGAGTATATAGAGCTATAGAGTGCGCGTAAGGTCCCGCGCCGTACTGTCACACTGTAAGCAGTAGCTCCATAGGTAGATACAGACGTCAAATGTATGAGAAATTATAGAGGTTCAATAGTGCTGTCACTGGCGTTTTGCTACTGATAGACAGAGAGGTTCTGTGAAAACTAATGCAAACCGTTCTAACTTTTTAGGCACTCTACTCGTATAGCTTGCTTATATATAGGTACTCTAAGGGCCTAGCCTAGCTCCCAGCCTGTCTGTAGGAACACAGCTCGTACCTAGATATTTTTAGGCGAGTGTTGCCGCAGAACTAGCGCCACTTCGCAAAAAAATCATATCTCTTCATGGTGACAGACAATAAATTTACTTTTCTCAAACATGCTAGGAAATATGACAATTTCTTTCAAGAAAACAATCCAGAAAGTTTGACATTGTCTGTGATTTTGTAATTTCTGAACGATTTCTTTTTTACACACCAGCAATGAATTCCAATACAACTTTTCTGGCGCGATATCGAAATCGTTCAGAAATTACAAAATAAAAAAAGAATAACACCTAATCCACATCTTGGACATCTTGACTGAGTAATCAGTAAAACAACTTTTTATATCAAATTACTATAAAATAAATTAAAATCTTTATAATTTCCTAGCATTTTTTTGAGAAAAGCACTATGTAAGCCTCGGGGAAAATGACTTTGCCAGACTCGTATTTTTAAAGTCCTCGCCTGCGGCTCGGACTTCAAACTCTACTCGTCAGTCAAAGTCTTATTTCCCGTCCTCGTCAACAACCTACTATTGTTCAAGTATTTGGTGTTATTGTAAAGTTCAATTAAAACGTGCAAATGCAATAAAATATTTGCTGCAATCAAAGTTATGGATAAAAATGCTAAAAACGGCCTCTTTTAGATCTAATTGTTATTCCTAACTTAAATTACAGCTAATATTTCATCGATTTTGCTGTGTCTTATTGAACTTTATGATATTACAAAAAATGTATTCATGCACCCATGAAACCTGGCGCAAACGAATCAATTTGTAATGCAGAGTAATGCAATGAGATGAAATTACCTATTTTATAACAGCTTATCACAGCTCGACAATTTACTGTAAATATGCTTCCTAATACCTAAGCTGTGACCTAAGTAACTTAAATAACAGCTCCATACTTAGAATGGACCATGGGAATGAGAACTTATTAAGTAGGTATGGTAGCACGAAAAGTAGCATTTAGGTAACTACATATTTTAATGCGAGACATGTTACCACCACTAGCGTGGCCTCCGCCTTAATACAATGTTAAATGTCAATGTCAAACTCTTTTAGTACACCCACCTACGTCATCCAACCGGCCTTTTCAATATTTGTAAACAAATCTACCAACTCTATATTTAGAATTTTCCAAATCATCTATCGCTACTATTGTCTATCTCTTTCTTATCTCATCGAGATGAAGAACATCCCGCTAACAAACCCAAAATACAGAGTAGGTACCTAAATTCGCTAACACTTACCTTTTTCGCGTAAAATTTGGCAACCTCTCAACAGCACAATCCAAGCACTCAAATATCAGAACAACACATACATAAACGTAGCATTTCGCGGAAAATTCGAATTTAGAAACACTGCATTAAAAAGAAAACTGGGGAAAACAAAATGGTGCGCTAGCAGAAGATTTTCGCCAGTGTCGGCAGCGAAGCGACCGCGCGCGGGTCGGAGCCAGACTGGCCAGTATCGAGCGACGACCGGCGCCTCCCCCCGCACTCTAAACCAATTTATAATACATACGGAGACGCAGCATCCCCCACACCAACCCCTGTTCCAAACTCAACCTTCAGGGAACCCGCCCAAAGCAGATTTTCGTTCGGAAGAAAATGCCGCAGCGACAAAAACGCCGCTAGTTCTTGCAGAAAAGCGAGGGTGCGAATTGTGTACGTTTTCATCAGTTTTCGCAGTTCATAATAGAAATCATCGAGCAAGTTGGCGTCGGTTCGACAGATTATTTATGAGGTTATGTTATGATGAGCGACACATTGATTGGTGAGATTCCAGCTGGCTTTGTGAGGACAACGGGGATTAAAGTTTAGGCGCAAACACGGCGATGTTTGGGCAAGATGTGACGTAAAGCTGAATGCTGAGTGGATTTATCAGCTAGTCTGCTTTGCATATCCAAACGTTGCATGCTATTTTGGGATTTTATTTACTTCATGGTTACAAAAGATAGCGAGATGAGACTTTTGACATTGAAGTTGAATCTTGATAGTCTTACTAGTGCTCAATCCAGAGGCTAACCCTGAAAAATCTACAACATAATAAAAACCCAATCCAACTTCTGAGACCATCCGGTAAAATATAGCACAATTCTTTTGAAACTTTTCATATAATTCTACTTAGGCATAGTAAATTCTGTGCCTATACTTATACCTCGCTATAGGGATTTCTTAACAAGCTTAGCAAGTACCTAAGTATCTGCTAAGCCTATGCAAGTGCCTAACTGTAACCCAGTTTTTTCTCCCATGATGTGGAGCTGCGGCCGATAGTATCACAGTATTGTTTGCAAATGTATGGGAAACTCAGAGCTATAGAATGAATCAGAAGTAACCTTAAAAAACCCAAATGAAGCCAACAAAAACTCGTCACAATCAGAGTGCATACATGCTAAAACGACTAAATGCACGAAAACAAACAATACGTGTAAAATATTCTTCAGCTTTTATGAGACGTCCATTGCAAGACATAAGCCTATCCTTTGTGCCTCCATACACGCAATTTTGGTTCAACTGTATGCACTAGGTACAGACTATAGCGAGCTAGCACCAAATTGTCATTTTTGTCCCTTAAAGTTACGTGTAGATACGTAGCAATAGTTGTTACTTATACTCATATGCAAAAACGCCTTTGAGATGGCGCTATACTCGAAATCTGATTCCGACGAAATTTTCTTGGCTTCAGGGCCCCAAGTCTGCTAAATAAAAATCGTTTCACTTGGTTGTCGATGGCATGTCAGTAGGATGGTTTTGGTATTCTGGTAACAGTTTTTAGTCTAATCTAAATAAGAAAATCATATGGCAATGGCATGTCAGAGTGTCGCTGGCATTACTGGCAAAAAATTAGCAGACTTGGGGCCCTGATTGTTAATGGGGTTCTTTCTGAAGCATTCCCTTGTTCTGAGAGGAAACACATACACATTCACTAGCAATTAATGAGACTGATAGTGCTTGTGAGGTAACACCGTAACAGCTATTACTGTAGCGAAACGGCGAGGTTTCTTGTTGTGATACTGTACTTAGCTTTTTGTAGCTAGGTACCTTGATCATGACTCTAGGACCTAAAAGCCTACACCTGACTACACTGGCATTGATACTGAATACATAGATATATCATGTCTATATCCCTTGCATACCCCGCAAGGGATAAATGCGATGCAATATGGTTTTTCTTCGAATGTGTATAAAAAACCAGTATAAGTTGGTCCCTTAAATGGGTAGGTGCTGACGAGGTAGAGCCTACCAAGTGTGGACCTAGACCCATTTTTCTCTAACCCATACAGTCACGAGGAGATAATAAAGATTCCAGCCACCATCCAGATCTTAATCTGCATCAAGCCTGGATCAGATTACGAATGCACTACTGGACCCATCTACCGTCATTTTTAGGGTTCCGTAAAAGTTATGTCCAGTTTTGAAGACAGGTGGCTAGATTTGCACTAAATTTAGGTGTCGTGTTAGTTAGGGCTCTGTAAAAACCGTCAATGTGATGGCAGGTTGGATAGTATCACCCCATGCAGTCAAAAGGAGATATAAAGATTCCAGACACGACACCATCGAGATCTTAATCTGTTACTCAAGCCTGGATCAGATTACAAACGCACTACTGCTACTGGAGCCATGCATCGCAATTTTTAGGGTTCCGTAATAATAAGGTTCAGCGCAGTTATGATATTCGCATTAGGTTAGGGGAACTGCAAGAAATCGTGGCCAATTTAGTGCTGTCAGTGCCCATGTTCAAAAATTTTCACCGCAGGCAGGATTTAACCCTGCGACCTTCAGCATCTGTACTGCCGACGCCACTACCAACTGGGCTATCGCGATTCTATCCTAACTTTTGGTGGCCAAGATATACTTGCTTGATACATAGGCTAGAAAAAAAACCGCAGTAGCCGAGTTGGTAGTGGCGTCGGCAGTACAGATGCCGAAGGTCGCAGGTTCAAATCCTGCCTGAGGTGGAAAATTATGCAAGTTTCCAAAAATAAATTTAAATACTTATTACTATTGAATACTTAACACGGGAAGTGCTTTAAAAATTTGATATTCAACCAAAATTATGAATCGTAGCTTCGTGTAAAATTGCGTACCTCTTCTACAATTAATACAAACCTTTCTTACACCAAAATTTTAAAATTATCTACAAGTCAAACACAACACAAAGTATGAAAATCTAAATCCTACGGAACACGTGTTGCACAGTTGCACTCACACTTGCCAGCTTTTTGTTCTCGTTCCAGTATGCTGGCTGCATTCACCGTGTATCGGAAAAAGGCGTAAAAAGCATTTATTTTTCCACGAACCGCATTGGACAGTAAAAAGCTTAATTTATTTTCTGTAAATGGCTTGCTAGCTTCGCACTTTAAACTTTAGAGTTGTCTGGCAGTAATGAGAAAGCCTTCGCCCATAGGCGAGAAACACATGCAACGTCATGAAAAATGCGAATGTCCAAAGTGTGGTTTGACAGACTGTAGCTAAACTCCCATCCTCTTAAATTATTGTGGTTTTTACAATTCGGTGCCGTGGCCAGGATAGGGAAACCTAAAGGTTTTCCATCTTGGGAGATGGTACAATTTGGTGCCGTGACCAGGATAGGGAAACCTACAGGCTTTTCCATCTTGGAACATAGTACTATTTGGTGCCGTGACCAGGATAGGGAAACCTACAGGATTTCCATCTTGGAACATAGAACTATTCGGTGCCGTGACCAGGATAGGGAAACCTATAGGTTTTCCCATCTTGGGACATTGTACAAGACGCATTAGCTTATCGCGTATCGCACAATGTTGCGTCGACGGATGCGGTTTTTTGAAAAAATAAACAAGTAATAATGGGGCATGTTTATAGCAGGCCTAAATATAATACAAAAATAATTATAATTGCTCTATCTACATGCATTATTTGGGATTCAAATAGGTGTTTGTATTAAAAAGCCAAAAACAGGCATCTTTCGGTTATCGTCTTAAGTACCTACCTAAGTAAGTACCTATCTAAACTAGGTACTGGTAACTTCACGCTAACGACATCAGTTTTTTTATGATTCTGCGATGACATGAATACTTTGTTGACGTATTGGTAATGAATCTATTCGCATTTACTCACTTTTGTTGGTGCCCATACCTACTACCTACTACTTACCTAGGTACATAAATTAAAGCACCACAACCCTACTATCTTCGGCCAAAGGTCTTCGGAACCGTTAATAGTGTATTGGAATCGAAGACGAGCCGACACGACTCTGTAACTACTACAAAAAGTCGGTGAGGTTGTTCGTAGTTCTGTAAAAAAACTCACCTCTTTGGATAACTACACATGTGAAGCGCGATGTTGCGGTTTTTGACATATTATGGAAATGACAGTCTAGAGGCGTAGCCAGGCAAAGGCCCTCGGGCAACAACTAAAGTTTGTTCCAGATATAGTAATCACCTCTTTGTAATTCAAATTTATTCATACTCCTCCGCCTAAATACCTTTCTTTTCTTTTCGACTGGGACACTGAATCGTCCAACGACCCGATGAATTCTGGTGTCTGACCCCATGATACTAGAACGCGAAATATTTTTAACTTCGATGTCAAGCCTGTGTTTAAACCCATGGATTCTTAAGGGACAAAGGGTTCCTCTTAATTATGGGCCCCAGGCGACCGCCCCGATTAGCCTCCTTAGAACTATGTAGATGCGCTACTGTAACCCGCACGCCGCACCGTCAAAATATCGCAAACTTGTGTTGCACGTGTGGCAACCGCCTTTCGGCAGACACGTCGAGCAGCGTCGACGTCTTTTTACCTAATTAAAAATACGGGTACGATTCGATTTGTACCGCCCTTTTTATTGGGCAAAGACGCATTCAGTTTTAACTTAGACTTTTCTGTGATACAGCTAAGATTACTTGCTTATAGAACTGACACGCATCGTAAGTAGTATATAGAGGGTGCTTGTTTTTTTTTTTATCTATGATGGGCTTACTCTTGACCCCAATCTTACCCTAGAGCAGAGATGGGATCTAAGGTAGAGCGAGCTTGCCCAGAAGATGCCTATTCACTTTAGACTTAAAGAGATTCAGGTTATATGCACTCGGAAATACACCCTGAACCCATTTTATTTAGGTACATCTTCTAATATTTCCTTACAGATCGAAATGAAATGATGGTACAGTCTCTTCTGCTCACTCATGAACAATCCCAACATTAAGGTATAGATTTTTTTTAGACCATAACGTTTTACAGCAATAACTGTTACTTTTCTAGATGCAACAACATTTATTGAATCGCACTATATAGTTTTTATCCGGATTGTCCGTATCAGTCATAAGAAAATCGAAACCTTAAAAACAGAACTGTTCATGAGTTAGCGTGAGTGACTGTACCTATGTAAGAAGGAAACGTCTCCAAATTATAGGTGCCTACATTATTTATTATACTTGGTCCTAATACCAATTCAAATTTTATAATTGCATCTTCTACTGTCGTCTATTTGACCAGCCATAACTCTTTGGCACTATCACGATTTTCTATTAGTCTTTTGTCAAGAAGCTACTCTGTGACTCTGCTCTTCTCAACAAGCTACCTACTCTATGGCGCTATCACAGAGTGTGATCGGTGGCTAGAGGCGCAAACACATGAATAATTGAGCGCGTCTTTAGTTAGCCCTTTAGTTTGTCCTTTGTTGACCTGTCTGAGCATGTTTGTTACGATACCAGACAGAGGAGACTGAGACAAGAGCCGATATTATAATTGTCTCCTCTCAACAAGCTACTCTATGACGCTATGACAGCAGTGCGATCGGTGGACGAAGGTGCAAACACATGAATAATTGAGCGCATCGTTGGCCAACACTAACCCTGTGTCCTTAGTTGCCCTGTCTGAGCATTTTTGTTGCCATAGGAGGCAGAGACAAACGCTGATTTTGTAATTGTCTCTTCTCAACAAGCTACTCTATGACGCTATCACACCAATAATCGGTAAGCAGAGGTGCAAACACATGAATAATTGAGCGCGTCCTTAGCTTTGCGTCCTCTGTTGTCCTAGTATGTTAGTAGGGACAAGAGTCGATTTTGTAATTGTACCTACCTACCTACTTACTTCTGAAGAAGTTATTGTATGACGCTATTACAGAAGTACAGATTCATTAGTGAGCCTGTAAAAAAATATCATAGAAATGCGTTAGTTACCTCTTTTGGCCCATACCCCCGCCAACTCGGATTAAAAATTTACCCAAATGATCATCATGGGTCACCCTATTCATGGTAAAAAGGCTATTCTTAGCTTAGTGCTAGTATTGGCTAGCTCTTATTGCTGCGTCACAATTTTATCTTCTACTGTTGGTTATAGATTCCACAAAGAACCTAATAAACATATCGAGTAGTGTGAGCACGCACTGGGCGTATAAATAAGTTCTCAAAATAAGTCGATAGTACGATATCACTGCAGAGATCAAATGCACGCGAGCTGGCCAATGCGTGAGCAATGTATTGTTGTTTATAAAAATAAATAGTAACGTAGCGTGCTTTTAAATACACAAAGCTAAAAATGCAGGTACGAACAGCTTGAAACAAAAGTCGAAGTAATAAGAACTCCATTAAACCTCCGAAAACTATTTGCCAAGAAAAATGTAGGTTAAATTTTCAAAATGTCATATTCAGGATTCTAGAAAATTCGTTTTTTTCACCCCAAACATCTATCACTTACATCCTAGCTAGCTATTCTAAGGGGGCATGGTGTATGAGCGCAAATTATTTTCCGCCCATTAAAATCAATATCACCTGCAGACGAACCCTAACCTGCCCAGGGGTACTATCGCCAACACATCAGCTTACCCATTTACCAACACAGCTACATAACTGGCCATATTGTCTTCCCCTCACAGTAGGTTACTAAAACTAGATAATATAGGTAAGGTCCTATTAAATTCACTGCAAATATTTTATGGAACCCTGAATGTTGTGATGGTTGGATGCAGTAGCGCATTTGTAATGCAGGCTTGATGCAGATTAAGATCTCGATGGTGGCTGGAATCTTTATCATCTGCTCGTGACCGTATGGGGCAGAGAGAAATGGGTTTACTCGTAGGTCCACACTTGGTAATATTGCCAACTTCTTCTACCCATTTAAGGGACCAACTCTATACTGGTTTTTTATGAAACGGTCTTCTTCTTCTTCTTCTAGAGTGGGACACCAAGTCGTCCAACGAGTCAATGAACCCTGGTGTCAGAGTTTTTCAACCGCCTACTGCAAGACCGCCATCATAGACAGCAACCGAGACCGACGGCTTAACGTGCCCATCCGAAGCACGGAACCATGTCGCTTTTCGGACAATCAGGTGGTTAAGCCTGCAATGTCCTAACCAGATTGAGGACGAATTCACAAAGTGATAAATATCAACTTTGTGAGCGACGCCACCGGGAATTGAATCCGGAACCTTTTGCGTCACAGGCAGTCGTACTAACCACTGCGCCACATCGACTGTCAAAAACCAGTATAAGGTGATCCCTTAAATGGGAAGGTTGATTTTCCGGCGATGGTACCTACATCTCATCTCATCTTCGCGTTTCCACTTCAGCGGAGACCCTCGCTGCAATCACTGGCTGGTGCCCTGGGCAAACATACCCCCCGTATGGCTGCCTAGTCAGGAGAGATCTACTCGAATTCACAGTCAAGATTTTACGTGAAATACCTACCTATCTAGATAGAGACTCTAATGGCACGGATTAGGGAGACGGCTCACTCAGTCCAAACGACGATTTTGACGCCTACTGAATTTAACTGGAAGTTACTGGAATCAAATCACAGAGGAACTCAACGTACCTAACTAAGAAGATGGTTGCCACGAA